GAATCCGATGTACTTACATCACACTGTGAAACATGAAACATTCATTCTTTAATTTTGGGTGCTCGTTTCATGTTCGATTTGCTTCGATCAATGATTGGTTCCGATAAAAAATTGAGAGAATCGTGAGATTCAGCTCTAAGATTTATGCTTACAAACTGTTCATTGGTTTGTGATCACTAGCAATACAATTTTGGAAGGAATTTCGAGCAGTTAATCATTTTCAAGCAGTATTTTTTAAGGACCGAAATAAAAGAGAAATTGATATGAATAATCACTGTAGTTCTATAGAGCAATGAAGTTAAAAATTCATCAGAACGATATTTTCATTGCTTTTCTTTAATTCGTGTATTAATTTAAAATAAGCACGGCTGAAACATCCGTTTGTAACTTCTAGAGAGAAAGTTCAATTCCCGTCGGATAATGGAACAGTAACCTTACTTCTGGTACCGCGTACTAAATACAACGGAATGTTGAAACAGTGGAACATGTTTCTTTTAAAATCCGACTTTGCGTTTGATGGAAAAGTTTCGAAAAATTAGTCTATACGTATGCTGCCGTTGAGCAATATATTAACACTCGTTTCGTGAACAGTGGTCTTCACTTTTTGAAATAATTATGTAGAGCATCAGTTTTTATTTACAGTAAATATAAATGGTAAAATAATATATCATGATACCATTTATCTTTTTCTTTTTATAAGTTGTAATTTAATACAGGAGATCAAATATTTTTTGACAGTAGTGTTTACTTACCATCAGAGTAATTAGTAACGCTATCGACCATGTATTTGCAATTACTCAGTATAGAACTAATTAGTTTCACAGATTAGAGCGTAAATATTACTCAAGCATAAGGATTTCACTAGTTATGGCACTGTTAATATATTACTACCTACGGTATATTATGGTGGTTGTATACATTGCGACTCATTAATATTGAGTATTTAGTAGAATGTTATCTCCAGCGTAGTTAACAATTTATTACATGATATACAGTATCAGCGTAGACGTATTAAACGACTTCCATCATCGTTTACTCACTCTCCATTAAGATTCTGTTAATATGCACGTTAGACATTATGGGGTACACCGTTTTATCCTTCATCATACTCGAATAATAGTTAATAAACGACTGCATTATAATCATCTAACATTTTTAAATAATAAAATAACAGAATTAGTGTTCTTAGCGACAAAAGTAGTACGAATTCTTAATTAATTTTTTTAACAAATTTTTTATATTCCATATATTTTTTCTCTTTTCAAATACAGTTCACAATATTGATTAAAGTAACAAAACTCCAATGTAGATGTAAGAAATAATGAATATATTCAGAATGAACAATGTAATTCTTCCATAAATTTGCGGTAATTTCATTTTAAGAGGCCTAATTTCTATACCTAACTCATAAACTCCAAATTTCTACCATGCGTTGCAAACCCGACAAAACAACTCTATCATTACACTAACATCATACACATTTTATTTATATAATATCATGTATATTATATTATAGTTTTACAAAAACTACTTACCACAATGACCACAACATTCACGTGCGCAAAATCATTTAACTTCTGAGAACCCCAGTGAAAAGCCAAAAGTTTTGTCCCACGTTTCACAACAGATCGTTCCTACCCCGATTGCACCGCGATTTCGCTGTAGATGTGTATTCGCGTGCGCGACGATCGAGATGAGACATAATTCTTCTTTTTCGTCTTCTCGCGAGATATTGTAGGCTGGCGCAAACAAGAAAATCGCGGAGGATCCGACGAGTAAAGCGGAAGTTCGTCTGGAAGTGGAATTAATGAAAAATTTTTTCACGGCGCGCGCGGCGTCCGTGGCCGCATGAAATTCCAGCGGCGTCGGTTCCGGTTGTATTCACCCGGTTTTCATTCTCTTCAGCTCTTGCCTTTTCTCCGACAAGTTACTGACACCAGGCCGCAGCCTCCGTACGCTGTCGAGGAATTATACACGCACCAGACATTGTAGCAGCGCGAGCGTCTGCAGCCGTGCACGTGAAAACGCCCTCGAGCTGCTGCTTAGAAAAAAGCACGGAGCCCGTTGCTTTTATTTGCGCCAGGTTTTATCCGGCGCTGTCTTACTTATTCGCTCCGGTATCGTCGCGTCTCTGGCATCTTCCTTGTTCCAACGGTACCGTATGAAACCATGATAACGTGTTTTCTCGCCTAAACTCTCTCCCGAAAAAAGAAACGAAGGAGAAACGGGGGAACGTTTACGCATCGACGCTGCGAGATTCTAATGCATTCAAGAAGTAATATGCATCGATGAACCTGTCGAAATTACCGGTTTCACTTTTCTCATTAAAAGCGCTAAATATTCGAAATTATTTGAAAAATAAATTGTTTCACTTGAATACTATAATGGATATATGAAGAAACTGAGAAAAAGTTTAATTTCATTTCTATTCGTGATAACAGAGAAATGCTTAACGATGAAATTGCAGTTCTACACACTAGAGAGGAAATAAAGTTATCTGCTTGATAGAATGTAATCATTGAAATAACAAACATTGAAATAACTTAGAATGATACGCTAAGGTACTTGCACGGTCAGCGAATTGTAAAGGAACTCGTTAAAATCGGTGAACGAATACCTGTATACTAACGACTTCTGCTTACCATTTAATCCTACATTCAGCATGGACAAATATAATAAAATAAAGCTTATAACTCGTGATTTACTAATTTCAACAAAATTTCACAACAGCGGAATTCCATGAATAATAGCTCCACGGTGTACCAAAAGGAAGCTCATTTATGTTAACTACCTTTATCGAAATATCTGACAGTATATGTATATATTTTATATCCCACTTCAATCTTCAAATATATTAATTTTCATATAACATTGAACAACAAGTTAATCTAATCCAATGAACAATACGCATAATGAAAATCCACCCCAAGCTATCATTTCTATAAAATCGAAATCATATCCTATAAAAACAAATCATAAAAGCTCGCCAACAAGTTCGTTGCATATTTACTACCAGACGTTCCACCTCCTAACCGCCGTCCCACCGTTCCCGATTTATTCCCGCATACAAAATCACGATCGTCGCGCCGCTCATTACCGAACATCCACCAGAAAACCCTCCCGGGGCAATCTCGTCGCTATAACAGGCACTTTGAACCGCGGCACTCCATCGAACAGTGACTCCGAGGAATTTAAAACGAGACCCCGAATGGATGACGCTCAAGTGTATGGGGGGCAGCATCCCTCCGGAAACCTCGCCCCGTTCCAAGATCGTTCGTCCCGTAACCTCATTATCTCCTGCCCCGGTTTTCGTCCGACGACAGGTCGAACGTCGTAGACGTCGTTTAATCCATCCGCAGCTGGTCGTTATGGTGTCAACGTTAGAATAACCATCGAGCCGCCCTTCCCTCCAGCCCCTAACCTCTAATTTAGTGTTGCACAATCTTTGGGGCATAAAGAGCAGCATGCGAGATAATGTATTAGTTCTTGGATAATGAAGGTTTTCGACGAGTATGTAATTAGCATTTAAAACTAGAACTACGTGATTGTAAAAATTATGGGTTTTAGTTTTCTTGTTTTAGAATTATCAATATTTTAAAAGTATTTTATATTCGAAATGATTTGTGATATAAGTGAGTATACGAAAATAGTGTATTGTTTATCTATTGTGAATCTGTAGAACTTATTAAAACAGCAGCACAGCCTAATACTCCGACTTTGTTCGCCATTATGAATAATGACCGAACTAATCACTTGGTCTATAACAGTTCTATAAATAACAACTTGAGATGTGAATTAACCTAGAAATTTGATAATAAGCTGTAGCTTCAGAAACGCTGAGTCAAAACAGATTCAGTTTCCTCTAACAGCGAATTTCACTGCTTTTATCCAATCATGTAAACGACTGTTGACACATTTAGTACGGATAGAACCTAGTTCCGAATGTGAACAAGTAAGCATTTTTATTGCAACTTACTAAGCTGGTACTGTGAATGGAAAGACAATACTGCAGTTTTCAAAGCGATAATGTGGCTCCTAAAGCAACAGTGTAGTCCTTAAAGCGACATCCTACTTTCTAAAACGATACTGTGGTTACCAAGACGATAGTTTCCACAGAGATCGTGACATTCCCTCTTGGGAATTCCAGTTCCACATGTGTTAAGCAAAACGAAACTGGCACTGTTATCGTATGAAAACGTAATACACCTAAAAAATAGTGAATATTTCACTCCACATTCATTTAAATTACAATTAATCTTACCCTATGCACCATATAAACATTACAATATTTTTCTTGAACACCCTATATACATACACATACTTCAAACTAAGTTAAACATATTACACAATACAATTAACACTAGAACTACCGAGCATTTAATACGACTGACATGTAATCCCTATAAAAATTGTAACAACAAATTATTTCCAGTTTCTTCAGTCATTCATTATAATATTCAAATGAAACAATTTATTTTCAAGATCACACGAATACTCAATGCTTTAACACGTTGAATGCCACGCGACTTCATAGTACAAAATACTCGAAATGGAAAAAATATAACATTAATTCATTTGATTGAATTGCATCGTTATTATTGCACGTTCATCTAGCGGAACGTCGCCGCATTAGATAGCATTATTTGTAATATAGAAATGTTTTCAGATTATCATCGTTTCATTAAGTGAATTGTAGTAATTCGATTACCCCCATGGCAATCAGCGTGTTAAAGATACTCGCGAAACAAAAAACCCGTACAATAGTTCTAGTATTAAAACACAATCCCAAAAGTCTTTCATACAGAGCATAAATCCATACAGTTCGAAGATACTCGCGGGCCACGAAAATTTGAGAAGGGCCCACAAAGGTAGCGCGTCACTGCTGTAACTCCTCGCAGCCTTCGCTTTAGAGCGGCGGATATATATTCAGGCCGGACGCGATGGTTTGCGCCTCGCATTTTAATGAACTCTCTCACCAGCCGTCCCATCTTGTTTTCCAGCGGTGTGAGTCCCTACGGCGGAGGAGGGTGGGACCGGCTCCCGCAGGGGGCGCCAGGCGGCGGCGGTGGCGACGGCAGCGAACGGGGTAGAGACGGTGGGGCGAGCCGGAACCGGAAATGGCTGCGAGGTGGCTCCTGCTGGCGCTCCTCGCCGCCCACGCCGCGGCTCTTCCTGATATCATTAGGATAGGTGAGTATCTTTTCCAGCTCCCCCGTTCTCTACGGTTTAAAAGGCACGACCTTTCTGCCTCTTTCTTTTTCACCTGCCCCCTCTTCCTCCTCGCCGAACCCTAGACGTCCGCTTCTTTCTACCAGACGTCCTTTGGTCGCGCCGGATGAAGCTTTAACAATGAAATCGTAATCGATACGTCTTCCGCGGTCGAAAATTGAAAGGATCTCGATGATAGAACTTGATCCTGGGTAATGGTTCTGCAGGGTGAAATTAAAACGATGTTTAGGGGATGCTGCGGATGAACTCGATTCACAGGGTGAAATGAAGATCGTTGTGTAATTGGAATGAAGTTGAGGGACGGTATTGTTGGAATTTGAAGCGTGTAGGGGGTTTACAATGGGATTTTATTTTATTTATTTATTTTTGTAAGTCTCGTTATGTATTGTATGGTAATGGTGAGTGAAGCGTATAAAGTTGAACAATTTTTAAGATTTAATGCATTAGCTGGTTTTGTGTTGGAGAGGAAGTGTAAATTAAATTTACAAGCTTATGCGGATATGATGATAAGCAATCAAATATGTAATGTACATGTTTATTATTCTCGCGAGAATTTTAGATAATTGTTTCCGTTTCTGATAATGTATTTTTGATTGTCATTTTAAATTATTTTTCGAAACTGTCACGTGAAACTGTGCTATATTACTCGCTGGTCAAAGTAAGTTATACCGTTTTAATTAATTCAAAATACAAACAAACACGTTTCTACTTGACTTGCTGACCTAATTGTGCGAAAAATCCGCTACAAATCATCGAGCTTTGACCGTAAATGTTCTCAGAAGTGATACTTATAATTTCACACGCGCCGCGCAAGTAGTATCAGTCGCGCCCAGTCAGACAAGTAGTTTCGCGAAGCTACCGTTGGTTCTTGGAATTCCGGGTACGTAGATAACGACATACGCATGAGCATTGTGTAAACAGGTGGCGTCGTGTCCGACTTGTGAGTAAATAATGGCTTCTATTTGCAGTTTAACACTGCTTCGTGATTCCCCACGTACTCGTGAGTGGACATTTCAATGAAGATGATCTTCGCGTTGCCTAATGTGGTATTCGAAAATCTTACGTGGATATAATTGAATTTAGATTCCTTTGTTTTCATTTATTATTATTGTTATGCTACTTCAAACATTAACTATATAATAATAAGCAATGACCAATCCTAAAATATAATATACTAATACTAATCTACATAAATTAATTAATTGTAATTAATGATTGTTTTATTTTATTTGTCTTATTAATTTTTGTTTTATTTTCTATATGGAGAATTTTAAAATTAAAGGAGCAGTGCCAGATAGTGTGATTCGTTAAACATTTATCATTACATGTATAATTTATGGTGAATTTAGTTAAATGATAAGCATTTTAAATTCAAAATAAAATAATAGTACAATACAATTATGTACTGAGAAAGCAATAGGCAAGAAAATAACACTTAAATATCTGCATTATATTAATTAATCGATACATGCCATTTCCTCTAATAAAACACACGTCATTCACTAAAATGGGTATTCTATTACTAATTTATATCATGTGCCCGCACATCTGGATCATCATCTAAATTCAATTATCTCCACGCAGATTGCTAAAATATGGCACCGTCCCGAGATTGACATGTACAAAGCTGCACCCGAATACAACGAACGATAATATTTATGCGGAAATATCAAGCGACGGGTAACCTATCGCCGTCATTTACATTATACGAGAATTTTTCGTGTTTGCAAAGTCACGTGACTCTTAACGTCTCAGTGATAGAAATCGTATTGATTCATTCTTTTAACACCCTAAAAAATCTATTATATACTTTTATATTTGTTAACGTCGATATTGATATTAGTATAAAACAAATTAGCCAATATCTTAGGAAAACACAACATATTGAATACAAAAACAGAAGCTTCACAATGTGCTCAGACAGAAACATATACGACCTTCTGTTACAAAGTGACAGGAAGATCCTGCACAGTCAATATTCAAAAAATGAGGTATATTATTGTACTCAACGTATATACAAGAAAAATACAGAAATGTTCTATTTGTTTTTCAGATTATATCAAAAATTTAGAAAAGACTTTTTATTAGCACTCGTGTTGAAGTTTCAGCTAAAAATTGATAGAAATTCTAATCCGTACAAACCTTTGATTTTTCTTTATTAGTATATGATTAGTCTTTCCGACTAAATACTACTACCTACTGTATAACTGATCTCGATTGGTTTAATGAAGCCCACTAATACCTCAGAAAAAGCGTCACGGTGCATGTGTGTGGATTATCTCTGATTGGTTAATGCATTCCGCGCATATCGTCGCGATTGAAACCGGAAAACACCGTGTTCCGTGTCAATTGTTAATAATTCCCTAACGATTGTGCCCTCGGCGCCGAAATTAAAGCGCGGCGACGTTTGCCCCCGCCTTGTTCCGGCTGCGTTCAGCACAATTCGCAGGAAATTTCTCGCGCCGGTAATTAAACCGGCGTTTTGTGCGCGACGTTAGCCGGATATACGGTCGGCGTATCGAAACGGTATCAATTTACCGTTTTTGTTTGGCCGTCGAGAGTCATCGAGCGAACGACCGGCGCGGCACGAAATAATTCATTAAAAATCAATGAATATTCAAGCCCTATTAATTCGGTAAAACGGCGAAGGGCCGGCGGGGGGAGGAAGAAAGAAAAAATATATACGTGCCGGGTAAAACGACGGAGAAGGGAACGCGGGGCGCCTGCGCGATGTCCGAGTCGATCGACCGATGAAATAAAGTTAAGAGCGCGCGAAGGTTATCGCGTGCGTGCGTCGTTTTTACGCGGCGACCGATAACGTCGACGTTTCGCGCCGCACCGTGATTCCACGACGTCGCGGTTAACTGTTTTTTCCTCACGAAGACACGCTGCGCTCTTTATCCGCTTTTTTTCCTGCCTCCCTTTTATAGACTATTAAATCAATGTATCCCGGGCCGTTAACCGGGTTCAGTGGGAATTATAGCGACGAGTTGATAAGAGCGCCATTTCTTTGGGCTCGTTCGTGAACAGCTTCGTCACGCGCGGTATCTCGCTAGCAGTAGATTCTCCGGCGACTATTGAAATTGCATTATGCTGACGTCTACGCACCTGAAATTGAAAACACGCGACAAAAGCGAGGACAATAAAAGTCGGGGGATATTAATTGGATTTGGAAGCCTAGAATTTCTGGGGAACTCTATTATTTCTACCTTGTCACTTCTAATTGACTATTGTCTTCTATCATTGGTAATACAGTTCTGGAGAACCTAAACGTATTTATTTAAATCGTTTTAGTGGTCTCGTTTGTAACTGAATTTTCAAGAACATGTCTAATGCTTTTATTTACAACTCTAATGTTTTGTATGCATCGTATAGTCACTGTTTAGACAAATTCAAGAAAGTTGAAGAGCAATGTTTTCATTTTTATTTAGTCGAAAGGAACATCGGCGAGAGTGATTGTGACGTAGGACTTCGCGACGATGCGGGATATCAAATATGTAGGATAGCTTAGGTTGTCTCAGTAGTCGCGAAACGTTTACGGGATTTTGAGAGTCTCCGAAGTTAGGGGATTTCGATGACTTCAAGCTTGGGAATCTCCGAGATTTCAAATGTATTAGTCTCCTAGGATACACAGATTCGTAGGTCTCCTGGGTGCATTCAGACCCTTTGGATCCGCTGGGTCCCCCGAAGTCCTCAAACCTTTAGATAACAGCGACGCCTTCGAAACTTTTGGCATGCTTAGTACTCTCTCTTGGACTACCGAGACATCGGGACTACCTTAACCCCTTTGAGATTGTTGAGTTCCGTCGAATCTTACAGTATACTTAATAGTTGGCAAATTCATCCGTGCAATAAGTACATTTTGATCTGCTTAACTACTTAGGGAGTTGTACATACTTGGACACTATCGTTATTCATCGAAATTATCCGTTCGACGACTCAGGAGATATTACATAATCTTTCAATTAATTAATATAGTTTATAAAGGTTAATTTTCGAAAACTGAAATGTGTGGTTAGAGATTTTTAATGAGATGAACTTGTACCACTATGCTTAAGAAACCTTTAGTATTTTATAGCTGTTTAGTATACTTTAAGCAAATAATCAGTTTCCATAAAATTTCTTATTTCTCATTTCTGTTGAGTGATAATAATTTTCAACTTCGTAGGTGAATACAGTCGCTTTCTGAACGATTGTATTGTAATAAAAAAATAAGGATTATGAGAAAATGTACTTTGACTTATGACTTTGCAATTACTGTTTGTAAAATTTATGGTGTAATGAGGAATAATATTGTATAATGTTTAAATACTAATATTAATGCCCCATTACACTGAAACGAATTAAATTCTAGGTGAATTTACTGTTTCCCCAGTTCTAATTATTATTATTCGATCAAAAAGGATTCAGTAGATCTTCATTTATTACAGTTCGATTTCAAGTTTTCATTCATTAGCATTCAATTTCATTTGTTCAAACAATAGGACACTAATTACTCGTTAATATTTTATTAACATAATTTATCCTAAATCCGGCATCCAATATTCCTATTCACGGTACACGCTGTCTGTGGACAATCATAAATGCTAGTACTATGAGAACTCTCATTATACTATGCATCCTGTTGTCAGAGCTGCATTGTCCTCCGAATGTTCAGATAATCGCGGTTACTGTATAGCACAAATGTAGCTGCGTCCAGGTTATCCTATAACGGTGAATCTGATTAACATCAAAGGCCATAATTCTTTTTACTAATAAATGTTTTCTAAATGCTTTCGTCCCTTTACGTGAAAATAATGAACAGCTCGAAAACTTTACATTGAAATATACATATTAATTAATACGAACATTTTCTTGCTTTGCAAATACAATATCACCTTTCTGTTATCAATATACATATAGAAAATAAATCTTGCCTAACACTTTATTTTGATTCAAATGTTCCTAATATCTAACTTTATCGCAATATTCTGGACACGACTGCTACAAAGAAAACTGAATTATCGCAAGCTCGATGAAACTTATTTATGAAAATAAAAAATTGATTTTGGCAACAAAACGGATTTACAAAATAACGTAGCAAATTTTACTATTGCAATATTTGTGCGCAAATTTTTCATTCTCAAAATATACATCCACGTAAAAATGTTCGAAAATGATAATCCAATGCAACCTCAATTGGTGCTGAACTCTTACACAAAACTGTCTAAAAGAAAGTTTCGAAATGTGTACCCGACTGCCAGCATAAGAATTAATAACGATAAAAACATTCTGTCTCGTGTAACTGCAAAAGAAATCGCACAGTAAGGCACCAAGAACTACTCACAATGAAAAGTACCAAAACATTTGGAGCGGCAGCGACACAGATCAAGGAAAACCGCATTTCCGGGGGTAGCCTGATGCACACGGCGTCACGTCGCGGCCCGAACGAAGTTAATCGATGCCCGCTCTGAACTGGAGACGTAAATCTGTCGCTTACATTCTATAAATTGTAGAGTGAAGCTGGCACAGCTGTTCGCCCAGTTACTTTATGACGTGCGCGAGATTAAAATCAATTTATGGCGCCAATTCCTTCCGTCTAATTCGAGATGCGCTGGATTCCAATCGATATGTCTCGGACGATCGATCTTCTTCGACGTTCCTGCGGCTAGTTTACGCTCGGACATTCAACGCCCCGCAAATTATTCCTCAATGAACCTCTTCTTCCACACAACTGCAAATATATCGGCGTTATCTAATAACCGCGGACGACCAGCTTCCTTTTGTCTCTTCAAGGCAAAGAATCAACATTTCCAAGATGGCGCCGACAACTTTCCGCCGGTCCGTTTCATCATGGCCACGGAACGTTATCGCGTTCGAGTTTTAACTTCCCCGTAGGCTCGAGCCACCCTTTCCTTGAGCTTCATTACATATTAATGTCGCGGGAACTATTCATCCGGCTCGCAACACGAGTTTACCGGACTTTCTGCGGCTGGATGCATTTTTTACGGCGGAAAAGGGATTTCGGGACTTTTTCAATAGTTAAGCGGTACACTCGAGCAGTATCGAATTGGCTTGCTGTGATTAGCATTTCACTTTATATGCCGTTCGTGTTTCAGTTTTCGATTGAAGACCGGAATTTTCATATACGTTTCGAACCCTGTTACCTTTAACCCGTTAACTGTAGAATTTTCTCCACAAATGATTCGTGAATGTTTTACGTTGCTTTTCTATCTACACTGAAGGGGTTAGGTACCAAATTTCTCTTGAAATAGAAAATTGAAACATACACTTTGATTTTTTATTCTGCTTTAAACATTTAATACAGTAATGTAAGCTATATACGATTTTCTATATACAACATCTCGAAAATTTTCTTCAAAATGCCATGCAATACGTTTGAAGCAACGATCTTTAAAAGCATATAAAATAAAGGTGATTTTTTCAAAGTTTCAAGAGATTATACTGTATTAATACCACACTAACGCGACATGTAATATTGCAAATTGTTTCCTAAACTCAGTGATATATCAACAATTTCAACAACCATGTATTCATTACTGTCATCGTTTTATTTAAAACTGGAGCTTCATACGGAAAAATCTCCACGTTCCCGCGTTACTTTTTCGTGAAAACCGCCTCTCTGACTCTCCCCGGTTTCCTCTGCCAAGTTAGAGATACCCAGAGTTCTCGATTTCCGGAACGAGCTCTTAAATATTTGAAGCACGCAGGTCGCCGAAAACCGGATAACTCGGTCGAGCGCGGGCCGGGGAGCAAAAAAAGAGAGCCGGTGGTGAGCGGTCGGACGGTAGAAAATAAGGAAGAACGGGCGCGAGAGCTCGCGCGTCGCGGTCCTCGTCAAAGTAACGCTTTAATATGGATGTGTGATTTCCCAGGCGGGCTGTTTCATCCGTCGGACGACAAGCAAGAAGTGGCCTTTCGTTACGCCGTGGAAAAGATCAACGCCAACCGGGACATCCTGCCCAAGTCTCGTCTCAGCGCCCAGATTGAGCAGATAAAACCGCAGGACAGCTTTCACGCCTCGAAGCGGGGTGAGTGCTACCCGTTCACGCTTGTTCACTCCACAATTAACACGTTAACGCCGCCGCTGCGATCCATATTTCGCTGTATCAGGGCAATTTTCTTAGTCCTCAATTATTACTAATAGAGAAGTCTCTTTCATTTCAAAATGTAACTTTCCAATTCATAATTTTATACTTCCTGCGTTCTTTGGTTGTGTTTGACCCACTTTCCCATTTCTTTAGCATCGTTTCGTTTGGTTAGTCTTTCTCAAGTTACGTACGTTCTTATTTTATTTGAGACGATTCGAATTTGGGAATATTATAAAAATCTTATTACGAATCTACGTGTTCCTGCTGTCTGTAATAATATTTGAAATGTATAGATCAATTGAGGAGAGTAGTAGTAATTTTGAATTACTACTACTTCTTTTTGCCCAATTATTGAAAAGATAACAGGTGCTTCTCTGCGGAATTACTAAAAAAAATTGATTTATAAATAAATGTATAAACATATTTGGAAATGTCGATTTGACTGCTCGGTTGTTCTAGTGTTAACGTGATGGAAGTCGATGTGAATAACCGAACAGTGATTTAAAAAGCATTTCAGTTTTTATTCCTTTTGGAATTATGGTTCACGTTCATACGTGTAAAATATAATTGTAAAGTGAAGAATAATACTATTCCACAATTTTTTGAGACCACCGGTGGTACACGCTTCCTGATGGGATAACCCCGCTTGTCAACGTGTTAATCGTGTACGGACCAGCCGCGCCGACGCGCTTCCCACACGAACATTTCGCGCCGCGAGGAAAAGCGTTTTCAATTTTCTCGCACGTAAACAACGTAGTCCTGCGGTCGCCTGATCATCGCGGTTCCGTTCTACTTGTTGTAAACGTTTTACCGGAGTTTCACTGGCATGCGAGTTATGCCATTCCGGGATAGTTACGGCTCGCTGTGCCGTTATGGCAGAATAATGGACATCGAATGGAAACTATAAACGCGTTTTCTGACGCTTGTTAGAACAATTTTCCTTTCTTTTGGCTTTCCCTTTGTTTCGTGGACAATTGAATCGTCGACGTCTTTGTTTCGGAGTTTATAGGTTTGTATTCATTGGGACTCCGATAGAAACAGAACTTTGTTTATGCTTTGTTTGTTATTACGAGACTTTCATCGAATACAGAATATATAAAACAAAGAACTGTCTTTATTATTGTATAATAACGTTGCTTTAATCAATTCTGTTCTTCGACGTGTACGCAGTGGATGATATAAAATACAATTTTAAAACCGTAATAATAAAGTTTCAGGAAATGATAATTTTCCTTTGCGCGAAATCTAATTTCTGTAATGAGCAATGCACTCGCAGTAATTAATTTAATTACGATTAGTGGTTGTTTGATGTGAAGGACTGGCACGCAAAGTAATTTTGATATTAAACTTGTTTTCGATTTTAATTTAAGAAAGGGATTATAATTTTTAGTCAACGCGATTTAATCTTATATCTGGTTATTGTGAGAATGTTTTACTTGCTTACTTTGAGGAGATGAGAGTGAGAATTTCACTGCATTAGCGTAGCAATCGGCATTTTACATCGGTTATTACCCTTCCTAAGTAAATTTCGCACATAATCACCGGTTAAAGCCAGATTCTATTTAATTAAAATTCTGATTGAAGTCGGGCTTTCTTAATAATTTCAAGATAATAGTCTGAAGATCGGGCTCCTAGCTGCAGTCTGTGAAAATTACTTTCAAGTCATAAGCACAAAGGTTGTGTAAAGGCGATAATAGAGTTATTTTAATTGCAGTTGCAGTTTAATTACATAATGTGATCATTTTCTCTAATAATGCCTCTCGCTCGTAATAGAATACCCCCGGCAAACATAATCATCATTTCCGCCATTTAAATTCGAAATTTGAAATTTGCAATATTAACAGCATCGCGATTAAAAATGTTACGTTATTAGAAAAATAAATTATACTGATCCACGAGGGAATCGTAGAATAATCGAAAACTGAAAGAATTTGATAATGGTTTTCGAAACAGAATTACTTTTCTTTAAATGAATCTAATTAGTGGCATTAATCTGTATCTTCTACGCGGCGGCGACACAGTTTCATGGAATTAGATAGTTTCGCAACTTCGACCCCTCAATTCTCGAGTTATTTGGCTTAGTCGAAATTATTTATCATGCGCGTGTCATGGCAGCTGCGTTTTCTTCGAGATATCGTAAAGGTAATTCAACTTCCATAGTATTCTCTCTTCTCCGCTTCGGATTCGCCGTGTATTCCCGAGACTGTGTGTCGCATGAACTATTTTCAAACTTCCACCCCTACCGCTCGTACATGGAAAATAGACTTGCGCCTCCGCGCTGCAGATTTCCCGTGTCAGTTCGCCCGCGGTGTCTTGGTTTCGTCAATGTTGCGTGCACCCTGTGAATAAACTTTCGCAACCTTGTTACCTCGACGCGCGTTGTTTTCATCAGTCGATACATTATGCAGAATCTTTCCTTACCCCCGACTATAAACGGAAAAATCAAAAAATTTAGTCGATCGAAAGTTTATACAATTTTTCCATAACGTTGCTACCTTCTATTAGATCTATCAAATTTGCTAAAATTATCTTCTCCAGATCCTTTATTCCACAATCACGATAATTCCGCAGGTACCTCCAAGGAAGATTCTTAACAAATTGTTAATAAAATCCCCACAAATACACTGTTATAACCTTCACGCGAATTAGAAACGTATCATTTCGTTGCTCGGCAATTTTAACATTAATATCAACATTGATTAAACCAGTTGACTCAAATGTACATTACATTTCATCCTTTCAATGCTATTAATACTGCCAACGTATCTTAATCGAATACACGGGAATGAAATTCACGAAGATACAATTACAAAGTGCAATTCCACGATATCGTTTCACCAATAAACGTAACATCCCCGACTGGTACACGATTTTCCATAAATAAAAACGAAATAACACGTTCCTCCATCTTCTCCCCTATAAAAAAGTCTCCCTTCGTTCTCATAAAAATTAAGCGGACATCAATTAAAATCAAACGTCGCTCATCGAAACGGTATTAATTAAAACCGGAATCCTTTAAATACGACGCAGCGACGAAATGAAAATAATTGCACGCTTGAATAGATTAAGAATAATTGTTACCGAACTGACGGGCGGGCACAACGCTGGAATATGAAGCCTCGGGCGATTAATAATCGCTCGGTTACGCGAGATGGCCGTGGAACGCGATAATTATTTTCGCGCGACATAATCAGCGGCGAGCTAATTGTCGACTCGAGGCACCGATTTATTAAACCGGGTCGCGGCCGCTTTAAACATTGCTGTTGCTGCGGCGCATTAAGCTGCCCGCGAGTATCACGCATCGGCCGCATCCTCGACCGATGGATCGAGATTTGGCCGGTTTCCATGAGCACATCCCTCCCGGTCACCCCTCCCGCTCGCGGCACGGGCGGTTCCCGTTGACAAATCTGCGTTTGCAGGCGATCATTTCGCTCGGCCGTAAAAACCAGGATGGCCGCACCTAATGCTGCGGCCTGGCAAACTGTTTCGATTTATGGCGGGTCTTTCTTCAACTTTATCTCGTTCGCGAACGATATATCGCGATGACGCGAACCAGAGTGTAGGAACCTCCCTGCGAGAATAATGATCTCCCTCGCCCGATGTACGCGCGGCTCCGGATATTCGAGTGTCACTCGAATGATCCCGGGAATGTCTTCGTAAATCACATTCCGCGGAGGCGGTATCTTTTGTACGCTTCACGGTTCTGTAAATAAATATTGATTCCGTGTACGGATCATTTGGCATCTGTATTACAGGAGTGTCATGAGTTTACAGATTGATGCGGGCGATTTTCTGGAATTGGGGGAATAGATATTGTGTAATCGAGGAGCGACGGTTATAGGAGTGTAAGTGTAGATTGTAAGAAATAAGTGTAGAATAAACGTTTCCTATAAGACACTTTGTTTCTGAAGCTTTCATGTTTGAAGATCTCAGAGTGGTATCTCAGGTACAGTGTGTTCTTGAAAGAAGTTGTATTTATATTTTACTTACTTCCTCATGTACAATCGTATTTTGCTCTTCTTCAGTACCACAGTGCACTATCTAACAGTCTCCATTAAATCAGTATAAATTTCTAGCAATGAACACTGCAAATCTTAAGTTTGAAACTCGAATCTCCAAAACAGTTCAACCTACGACGAACTATTATACAATCTCACAAAGATGTCGAGTCTGAAATCTTCTCTATTCCCTCCTCAACGGAGTCCGCCGAGCAATAAATATGTCATAATCCCGCCGCCTCCATAAATTACCCGACAGTGCCGAACTCCAGGCCAACTGTCACCAGACAGACATATTAAAGAATACAGGTCGCAGTCGTCAAGTTATTAAGCCTCAAGTACACGAGGCATTACCTCCGTTTCCGATCCACTTCGCTGGAAGCTTCCACGACACCGCGTCTGAATCGCTCTGTATACAGCCCGTAATTACCCACAGTGGGTCCCGTTGATCCAGTTTCCACAGGAGATACACGGGCGACAAAAAGTCTGACGGCGATCTCGTTTCCCCGGTTAATACCTTTTGACGGTTGAATGCGAATGAACTCCGGGTAGATCGGAACTGTTCAGCGAAGAGCTTGCGGTCGGAATTCGGCTCCGTTTGTCCCGGTTTCTACTCGGTCTTCCGAGGCAACGAACCCTCTTTCGTCCCGGCGCGCGCGTTGCGTACTCGCGACGCAGTTCCGATGCTCTTTCCTCTTTACTGTGTTTTTACGATATGACGGGGAAACATGACCGAGCGTGTCGGAGGCCGCCTTTGTTCGACCCAGTACCCTTCCTCGCTCGCTCGGGACTCTCCTCGCGTAATACGGTTTTATGCTCGCTTCTATCTCAGAATTTCTTCGAGGCGCTCGTTTGTCTTTCTATCAGGTTTCGCCCGGGAAATGGAGAGACGTCGGACGTGTACGGGGTGTTTTTGAAATTGTGCTACACACAGGAAGGAAA